TTGACATTTCGCAATCCATCTTCCCAAATAAAATCATACAAAGTGAATCTTAAATATTTTAAACTTTGCTTAAAAGCCCCTTGTTTTGATCACACTTTGAAATTCATACGAGACTTCCAAGTAAAAATTAAACTATAGAATTGGAAAAATTTTCTTGTCAACAAAAAATTCGTCGCTCGTTTAACGCGATATTTAAGGTTCAATCACGCTCAAATGTTTCATTAGTAAAACAAAAAGATGAGGGAGATATATTTCTGAAGGTGGAAATTAGAAGTGGAAATAAATTTTTGGTGGAATATGGAAACCGCTTTAATCTCGAACACACGAGCTAGAAACAGTGCGGTTTCACGGGCTAGTGCATCCGCTTTGTTTACCGGCTGCTAAATTCTCGGCCAATTATATGAGGTTTGTGACGCGTCTCGCGTTTAGCTTTTGTATCTTTACCCCCGTGACAGAGGTCTCGTTAAATTTCACCTTGACTCTGAGGGTGCCTGCCTCGGTCGTGAAGTATACTTCAAAGGAAAGACAGAGGTAAACGCTGTGACAACCCCCTGAACGTATGAAAGTATAACTGCAATTAGTGCTAGGAAACGGGCGGCCCCGGTGCTTCTGTAAAATTGTAGTGCAGAATTAACAACGTACTCGTGCCGTGTCTAAGTTTTGATGACAGTCTCATTAAGAGTGCAAAACGTTCGACACGCATTTCTCCACCAACGTTCCTCTTTCTTTCTCCATTTTTCAGACTACACAGTGATTTTTATTAAAAAGGCGAGAAAAGGAAAAGAAAGAAAAAAAAAAAAAAGAATGGCAATTGAGTCTTTCCTTGGAAAAAGACTGCGTAAGAGTGAGTTTTAGTTCTGGCGTTTTAAAGCCATTAAAGTAATATAATGTTATTATCGCAATTATTTTGAAAATTTTTAAGTACTTGCAATAGTATAAAATAAAATAAGTAAATCATTATAATGGGCTCTTGAAGAGCTTCGTTCTTTTCGTATTTATAAAATTAATAAAAAACCTCGCAAGAATTCAATTATTTAATTAAACAAGACGATGTTTTCACAATTTTGAGAGAAGGTTTTTGTAATTTTCTCATCAACGGTAATTGCAGTGTTGTTAAATTAAATTCCACGTTGGAAAAGATTTCGACATTAGCTAGATTTAAATTTCCTGTGAAAAATATATTTTCCACGCTGTTTGGTAGAGTGGAAAGTGTTCAAAGCGACTCTTGCGAATGTTTCAAGTTTTTAACGCTTCGCGACTTCCACGATATTTATCCACCATGTATATGTAGATGAATGTATGTTAAGATTGTAGGTACAAAAATTACACCGCGAATAAATGCGAAACGTTTTTAATAGACCGCGAAAATATTAAATAGGAACGAGTTGCTATGTAATTTTTTAGCTATATTCTTTAAATTTTGATAAGAATTCACAATGCGATTAATCTCTGTTCGATGTACCCGATTGAATTTTGAAAAAAAGAATACGGGTAATATTTGACAATATTTTGAACGAGATTTCTTAATATAGGATATATTGTAGAGAAATTGAATCTGTAAGTGCATATTTCACACTTGGTATCGTCGTGCCAACATACTGTCCCAAAATTGGTAGTAATTTGGAGGATGTCCAATTTGGAGCGGAACCGAATGAGATATCATTTTTAAATCCTTTCCAGAAATAATTTAGCGTTTTAACTCTTACATTTCACTGTATTTTTTGAATAACAATTCAAAATCTATTGCAAATCTATCTTAATGTCTGTCTCAACTATTAATAAAGTAACGTTGAAATCTTATTCAAAGTTGAATTTAATATTTGTCCAAAGTATTAATAAAGCTACTAATAATTTTGCTAAATAATCTTGCAACTAATTGTTCTGTAAAGATTAAATTCCTGACGAACGCTATTATCGTAATTATACGACTCTTTCTCTCAAGACTTAGCCATAAAGCGTGGAAAGTCTATCATCGGCAGACTCAGATGACAGTATCAATTTTCAAGGTCCAACTCTGAAAAAGTCTTTTCCAAGGTAGCGAGAGATGGCTCTTCGATAAAGCTTTATCGAACGAAAGAGGAGCCGGAGCTAGGTATGCTGGGGCCATTTTTCCATAGCTTGATCTATGGTATCAATTTGACCGCGGCGAATTCTTGGTTGACGTTCGAAATCGTTATTTATTACTCGCCAAGTCGATGGAAGCCACTGAGCCGACCGTGAAGCGAATCGGTACGAGAGATCGAAAGTGAACGGAAGCTTTCGTTTCCATGCGCTCGCGTAAGTTTATTAACTTCGAAAATATAGAGCTTCCATCAATATGAATTTTTAACCGTATAATAGAAAATTTATTTGAAACATCGCGCAAAATATTGTCGAGTTTTTTTCAATTATAAAACATTACTGATCCGAAATTAGTACAAGTTACTTCGTACAGCAAATAAATCGTTAAATTCGTTCAATTTTTTCCTGTTAGTTTGTTCTAAATTAAAGTACCAAGTATGTAGCAATTGTAAAGATGAAATATCTAAAAATGTGTTCGCACCAAAAATTTTCTCTCAGTTCTCAATTATACCGTTCCAAACTTATTAGAATACCAATTTGAAAAATATGAGTCAAACATGCGTACTGATTCACGTGGACGTTAATGAAAGAGTAACAATGAAATTTCGCGTAAACGTGTCAACGTTTGGTTGGCTGGAATATCGAAACGTGAACGACGTGTGCACGTGAAAGGGGCACGTGAACACGACTGGAAACGGTATTAGCGCGGACCATTTCCAAGGAGGAATCGATGGAAGAATCGGTACGGTGGTAAATCAGTTATGGAGGTTGCCACCTGCATCACGCCGTGGGCGTATTTCAGATAGACAGTGGTTGTAGGCAGGGGGAGTACGGAGACACGAGAGAATGGAAGCTGACTTATTATCGCGACGACTGGGTAGATTGGCCCGCGGTATGAATGATAAATCTCCACTAGGCAAATACAGTAATTTAACATTCGCTAACGAGTCATCTATATGGTAAACAGAGGGGTCCGCCTGGCAGCTCACGGCTGCCTATACCGCAACCACCTCTGCTGCCACAATATTAAATACCTCTCGCCCGCGCATGGATTTAACCGATGAGCTAACATTTGGGCGAGTTCCCAAATTCACTTTTACCACGATACATGCCACCCGTGTACAGCTAGAGACGTTATTTCGGGCCACGTTGCGCTTCCTCTTTCCTCGAATAATATCTATCGGACGCGGAACAACCGGAACAGCTGGGTCTTTTCACGCTTTTCATATTCTCCATAAAGTTTCCGATCGTTCGATTCGATGCAGACATTAAAATCGTAAAAATTATGCTTATTTTTAAAACGTATTAACAATGCTAAGAACAATTGCGATATCTCACGATTCGTAACATTAAAACAAACACGATCATCATTGTATACGTTACTCTAATGCGATAAATATTTTTCATTTCACGATTTTAATACAAACTGAAAAACTAATAAAAAGAATCGCGATTTGAGCAATTTGACATGTTTTTAATATGTAAATAACTATAATGATTACTATAATAATAATATAAATAATTCATAATAGCTAATAATAATTACAAACGAGCACAGTGGCAAAGAAGTAATGAGTAACTTCCCATGCTCTGGATGGATTTTCAATCAAGTCAAATGGAAATCATTAGCAACTGGCATGCTTCCTGTTTTCTTTGACAATCTCCTTGTTGGAAAAAAATAAAAAAAAATACGATGCATGAGAAAACCTATCTTGAAATGATAAATAAAGCACAAAGAAATATTACTATTCATGGGTAAATACACATGGTCACTGTGCTCGTCAAGAATTATACACAATACAATCAGTCACCCGTATGTGAATCTTTCATCTTATAACATGACTGAGTGACCAGAGAAACAAAAATATTTACGACTCACGGTTAGATGCGAAGAATATCATGGACTGTTGTGATCTTATGAAGCTTGTATCATAAAGTTGAGATTGTCGAATTCCACGAAACAAGGCAAGACTGAAAAAAATCATAACAAAATGTACAACAAAAATAAAATATTACAAGTTGTTCTTTAAGTCAGTCTTAATTATTTGAAAAGTTTGAAATAAGACTGATATCCATTAGATATTAAATTTCAAATTAGACTTTTACATTTTAATTAATAATTAACATGAAATATGCATGTGACTCACGATTAAATACAAAGAATGTTGTCATCGACATGGTTGTCTATGGAAGGTCATTGTAGAGCCAGTCATTAAATAGGAATCAAATATCTATCGAATACTAAACAAATGTTACTACTTATTCAATAAAACGAAGGAAACAAAGGTATAAATACATCTGATTTCACAAAAATAAATCAAATATTATCATACTTGGTGAACAATTATTGAATCCATCGTTAACTGTCATGGCGTCCTTCCGAATTTCGTGGCGTCTCTTTGATGCTTCGCCTAATCTTCGTATAAAAGGAAATCAAAACTTTGAAATAAGCATATGATACATTATATTGAAGAATAGAATAAAAACGCACCTTAATTAAAGGAAAATAACAGTAAATACGAGCAATGAAAAGTAATACGCGGTTAATAAACATCACGCAAGGCACACGTCTTAACAATTCGATTGTCGTCGACACAATAAACCCTCCCCCCACCCAGTGCAACAAGGTTGCGTCACGAATTAGTGTAAAGGTGGGGGCACGAGCATGCACGAACAGGATTCGGTCCATTTATGAAAAAAACAGTGTTCTACGAAAATGTTTTCACCAATGAATATTCATTTATATCGTACACATGAATATCTATCACGCCGATTTAATTTAATTGGATTTTATTTATGCATGCTTCTCTTTTTGTGTGAAACTAATATTTCTGCACGATAATATCGCAGATCGATCACGACATGACAGATTATATCGATTATTGAGTATCGTAGTAAATAATTGCGAAATTTCACCGTTTCGTGGCGCTGGACTAAAGTTATTTCCCACGTTTATGTACGTCGTTCAATTTGGAAGAGAAAAGATAAAGTATATTATTAAAGTACATAGTGCTGTGCACAAAGAATTGTCAAGAATAGGCGAAATGAAAGCGTAAACCTGACCGAAACCTAACCTGTATCGAACATTCTATACTTTGACATAATACGTGGAATACGTTCATCCGTGCGTAGAGATGAATTTTCGCATCGACAAAGGGCCAAATCAATGGAGATTTCTAACAAGTAGGTGATCTCTTTCTTTCCCTTTATATTTTCATGGTAACGTGACAGAAGCGTGAGTGGGGCAGAGGTGCGTACAGCGAGTTGCTGAATACTGGCAGGGTTGGAATTTAATTTTCCGGTTTCATTGTGAAGAACTTATATCGCCTAAAGGTTTGTGCGCGCTGTGATGCCTCTCCTGCTCCCGTTGCTGTGCGTTATTATCGTCAGGCAACGAATTGTGAATGCTATCGCAAAGCGTGCGCACACGACGATGCGTATTGAAGAGATATCTTAAAAAGGATTCCGATGTTTAGTCTGTTAAGCTCATTTACTTCGGGAATATTGTATAATCTCGAAAAGATTGTTTTTTGCAAAATATATAACACTGGCGTACAAATAACATTACCTTTTGTTAAAAATTTATTTTATCATTGTCACTTTGAATTTACTGATTGATACGTCTTGAAATTATACAAGAATAATCTTATCTTTTCGCAGCATGCGTAGAACGTGTAAAAGATTAATTAACTGGTGCATAGTACTTGACACTCATCAAAAGAAATATATGATAAAAGGAATGGGCCTCAGGAGTTAACCTCCTAAGCGGGTAAAACAAAAGATACACGATGCGTAAATGCCATCTGTGATCACTTCATCCAAACAGGTACATATATATCGATAGTATCGATATTTTCGATAGAATATTCTCTAACGTACTTTGACGTAGTTTAACGTATTTTTTAATAGGTGTGACATAACTTTTGTAACATTTTTTAGTGAAATAATGCTGTAATATTTGGATTATAGAAGTAACAGAATAATAAATCAAGAATATGCATTCTTTCATGTAAGTACATCAACATTTTTTTGTGTTCTTTGTAAATCAATACATCCAAAATTCTGTCAATATTATACGTTCAAACATAACCATAATTTATACACTTGTGTAACTTAAAATTCTTTTGTTCATATTTTGTTGTAATTATTAATGTTAAAAAATTGAGAGTAGCCAGTAAAAATTACGAGTAAAAATATAAAAAAATATAAGAAATTAAGAAGACAAGGAAGATAATGATTTATTGTCCTTTTGGAGTGCTCTATCTCTCTTTTTTTTGTTGGCGATTGCGTTTAAATTCGTTTAATTTTAGAGGAGTAATTAGAAAAAAAGATAGAAAGGAAGGAAAGGAAGGGCCCGGTAAAATCGGAGAAGGAGAAATTCGAGCTGGCAACATGAATATCTTTTTATCTCTCGGCAGCTGTACTCGAAGCTAGGCGTAAGTGCCCATTCATACCGGCATTCAAATTGCGAGATGGAAGAGCTGGCTCCATTATTTTTTATGGTGAATACGAAGAAAGGGAGGTGCTCGCGTTTGTACTTCGCCAAGTAATTACATCCCGTGTTGATCGCCCGTGATTTTTTCTTTTCTTTTTTCTTTTTTCATTTCACGATGATTCACCTCTTCTCGTCCTTTCGCTGCTTTGTTTCCTCCTTTATTCAACCGGCCTTCTCGACTTCTTTCTCCTCCTTCAAGCATATCTTTTCTTGTTAATTTCACGAGAGCTTGTTGATAGTTATTATCAGACAATTTGAAGGCAAATTTGCATTTAGAGAGATTTCAGATAAATCAGCAGATGCTTTTAATGTTAATATTGTCCAAGAATTTGAAGCCAGGTCTTTATGAACATTTGTATTTAATAAGTTTGTTAACTGTATCATCTTCATAATTATAATATATCTTCTTTATAATTAATTATTGCATCAAGTACGTTGGTTTCTCAGTGGATTAATCTTCAAACGTGATTTTAAAATTTCAATAAAAAAAGAGCAATGAAAGATGTTAAAACATTGTGACAATTAAGATCTAAAGAAGTGTATACAGAAAGAACCAGTAGAAAACTTGTTTCTGTTGTAAGGAATAGTTAGTAAAATAAATAGAGAAGAAAAAGACGTAGCTCCTGAGTTAGATACGGTCAACAAAGCTCTAATGAAACTTCTAACGAGTCGAATCTTATTATTATTCACAGTAGTAGTACGAACTAGCAAACGAACAAGCAGAAGAGATATAGTATCGTTGTGAGGAACGTGGTTAGGGTTAGGATCATTCAGTTTGAGGAGTAGGTAAGTAAGTTTAGTTACTTCGCGTGCATAAACACACGGCATTACTCGGAATAACAGCGGATTCGCTCAGTCGGACTCGAGTGCTTTTAGGTAGAACGTTCCGACCCAGTGCTTTTTCATTAGCAAACTACCGTCGAACATTGATTATCAGAACCTATCATGACGTAATAATTTGAATATTATTTATTTCTAACTATTCTATTCTGAATATGAATATTAATATCAGGGTAAAGATAGAGACATTTGAGTAAAGATTCGACAATTTCTTTCACATATTTTTTAATAAGCAAGCATTTGTGATGATCAAAGTTCTACTAGCGATTTGCTTTTGTATTTCGATTAAACTATATTTAGTACGGTAAAGGAATTCCAAGACAGGAGAATTTCAATTAGGTTCTTGGAGATTCATTCATTCAAACTTCCATTGTAATAATAATTCGCGCAATGCTGTATGATTAGAAATACTCATTTATTAACATGGAACGGAAATTAAACGACTAACTCTAATATCTCCATTTTAATACATAATTTAATTTGTTCCCCGACGAAATTTGATCATAAAATCCAATCCACGGTGTCGAAGATTTTAATTTGACCGGGGACAAAGTGATACGGAAATACTTCCTCAAACAGCGTAATTATGAAATACCTTTTGACATGAAGATTGCATCGGGGAGAAGAACAATGGAAGTGCCAGGAAGTGTGGAAGACGTAGCATTGGAGACATGGAAAGAGAAAGTGAGGGATAAGGATAGGGTAGTTGGCTTGGATCGAGACGAATTCGGATTATTCTCAATTAATTAAATACCGACCAATAGCTGAAGCTTTCCTGGACAAAAAAAAAAAAAGGAGAAAAAAGGAAAAGAAGAAGAGGTACAGAAGAAAGAGAAGGAGATTCCCTATCCGCTGAAAGGTTTCTAGTTAAAGACGAATTAATTAATTCCCCTGGCCGATGTTGTAGGAAGAGTCGTCTGGAAAGAGAGGTTAGAGATTAAATTTGCCCCGGCCGACTTTCTTTCACGCTTAATCCCGTCGCGTTACATATTGAACGTAGAGGAAGAATAAAAGGTGCAATGCAAACGAATTTAGAATTCAGCGAGGACCTTTTCTGAATGTATAATTCCGCGGTTAAAGCGGGCCGCCCCGTTTGTAACGCGGAATTTCCTGCACGCTTCGAAACGTGCCGCCTGTGTATATAACATTGAATTTCTAAATTGAAAATGACATAGACGTGCATGGAATTCCTGCCGCGGTGTGCTGCCGACGTTTAAAAGTCGAAATGCAAGGGGCGATGGTAATTACAGAAGTATGCAGGTGTACTTCATAAATTACGACGAATTCGAGAGTGAGATTGAGATGAATAATCATCTGTGAGTATCATTCTTAAATTTTTAAAATACACGTCGGACGTTTATGGCTGCTTGTATGTAGGAATTTTAAAAGGATTAATAATGAATCGACAATATAGATATTCATCTTAATTAGTACGACGAAGTATTTAGAAAATTACGTAACCACCGTGATCCCTTTCGTTTCTCGAAAAATATGGACTCGGAACGTATTCGGAATCATCATGATAAATCACTTCATAGAAATTCAATGAAAAAGAACGAAACACGATAGAGGCATTTGACAGGCGAAATTAGAAGGCAAGGAAAGTGAGCCCCCTTGTTGGCAACAGTTGGAAGGAAAAACAAGGATCGAGAGACGACGAGGTCGGGGACGGAAGGGGGATTTCCCGAAATCGTGCGAGATTAATCCAGAGTGGCGTGCCGCAGGCGCAATTACAGGCACAAACAATGGCACCACGACAGCGTCATTGTCCTGCATACGATATAAAAAAGAAAGAGAGGAAAAGAAAGGGGGAAAAAAATGCGAGGTCCCTAGTTTGTAATCACATGCTACAGTTGTCTGAGCGCTCTGAGTTTGAGGAATAATTTCAAATAAGCGAACAAAAGGACATACAGCTTAATGAATGTAGCGAAATGCAAATTATACAATATTTAGATATCGTCTACAATATTATGTCACTTGTAATATTACAAGAAATGAATAGTTATATTAAAGGCAACAGATTATTCTAAGAAAATAAAACGTTAATTATTTCAGACGTGCTTCAATACTTTCTTTTTATATAGTATTTTATAACGACTCAGAGTCATTGATACAATTGTAATTTCTGATAAAAAATTAGAGAAAGATATTTCACTAATTTTTTATTAGTAAAGAAAGGAAATCAAAATGTTGTCTTTGGAATAATTCATAGGGGGATTGGAAAAACTCATAGAAAGAGGAGTTTGAAAACTTAATGACAAATAATGAAAAGTAGTGGGAGCTAAAATAGGGTAATGAAACTCTTTGGTATCGTCATTCACCTTTCCACTCTTTTCTCTGTCCCCTTTTTCCTTAACATTTCTCCTTTTATATCAGCCGTTGCGGCTGCAAGAGAATTACTATTGAAAAGTTACTTTACAAATTAGAGTAAATGAAATTAAAAAAAGTTTCTGCTTTGCAGCCTGAATTTCCAAGGAAGTTTGCCAATGGAATGGTACTCTTGCATTCGACCGTGCTCCGGCCATGATGAAAGGAGGAAACTATTTTCTTTCTTCTCTGTAACAACCTCAAGTCCTTCTTTTCTACCTTCGAGCATGATAGCATTAATGACATTATACGCGTGAGTACCAATAAGATCTGGCCCGATTAAACTTAGAATTTTATATGCAGTTATTCAAATCTTATAAGAAAACCTTTTCTATATTCTTTTGACTCATATTAAACTCTTATTAAAATGATTTTATACATTTAGGAGATAGAAAATTCTAGATATTTTTCAGAGTCCAAAATTTACTTTGCTACAATGTTTAATTTCCAAATTTCTAGATCAAATCACTTTGGAATATTACAATTTTCTGAAGTTACATATTTTTTAAAAAATATATTAACTTTTTGCAAGAGTTAGGGAATAACTGAATGCAGAATTCATAAAAGCGTACAAAGAGATAAGGGAGTGATTAACTGATGGTCTCGTAGCTGATTTACTTCTTATCAAAATATTGGTTATCCACTTATCGGTCTTATCGAGTTTGCGCCAGATAGAATGTGCCCGAGAGGAACGATGCTGCCGCGGGCGCTTGACTTTTTAATTACGTGTCATAAATTGGCCGACACGCTCGGCCCGTTTCAGGACACTCCATTTTCTGGCTGGCCGCAAGTTCGATCTACCACCTTCGTGCTTTGAGATAAGCTTCACGCTGCTTCCACCATAAATTGTCTCGCTTGATAAATCGACCGGCCTCCCAGGCCAGTCCTCGACACGCGTGTAACGCTCGGCGAAATAAAGACAACCGCGAGAAAGCTTGTCTTCTCTCGATTTACCTCTATTATTGGGAACCTTTTGTCGTACAAACAAGCTTCTAGATCTATAATCTTCAAACTCGATTTTCATAACGTTTAATGAATCTAGAGTACAAATATAATTATTAGAGAAATCTTGCACGAAATCTCACTTTATTTAGAATTCCAACTTTGCAAATTTTAATTCACTAAATGCCTCTATAAAAGCAGAATTGGCACAAATCTCTTTCGATTTTTGCCCACGGAATCGAACGTCCAAACAAATTCCAAAGGTAAAAATTCCTTTCACAACGAAAAAGCGTGGGCGGTTGCGGTGGTACATCCGCTTGCGATATCTGCGGAGGAGCACTCGGCTAGCAGCGTGGCGGACGCCGATGATTCATGGCGTTTGTTCCGGGAAATAAGTAGCGCTCAAGCGGCACGGGCAAGGGCGGTATAGGGTGAAACGAGAGGGAAGGTGGCTGTGTGCGGTTGCGAGAGGCACGTTGCGCGATTGACAAATCCGAGAACTCATATGCAATAAATCGCGGCCGTGAAGCGAGTTTTTTGTATTTATGGCCGGCGAAGATGCAGCCGGTGGCACGAGGTTTGCGGTTAGAAAAGAGAAGAAGGGGGGTATCGAAGATAGGCAGCAGCGTCCGCGCCGGCGTCAATGCCAGGCAAGAAGGTTGCCAACTTTTCTCATGCATCGATATGAATATAAATAACCGTGAGACGAGGACCACGTAGGTCGACTCACTCTGCTTTCTTGCACTTCTACCAATCTGTTTGCTTCTTTCTTCGTAGATGGCTCCTGTTGGAACTAATAGGCTGATCACAAATCATAGTTCCTTCATATGAATATTAAATTTATCGATTATATTGTGCTAAATTACTTGTACGTATTCATTGCACTGGTAAATTTATTTCAGCCGTTGTAATCTGATCTTACGTGTGGCTACTGCCAGAGGCTACTGTTGGGTGATCATAGATGCGTACCAGTAGATTTATTTCACCAAGCAAGGAAAAACAATATAACGTAGGGAGTGAGAAGAAGCGCGTTAGCCGGCTGTTGTAAATAATCACGGCGAGGAAACAAACGTCTTGGTGTACTTCGATGGAGTGTAACTCGACTAGGAGCCGTGAATCTTCGCTATTGCGACGATAGGATGAGGGGAAACCTCCCCCTATTCCCTCCGCTCTCTCTTTCTCTCTCTCTCTCTCTCTCTCTCTCTCTCTCTCTCTCTCTCTTTCTACTTGCCACGGCTTTCCTTAACGAATGCCACGCAGGTACGATTGTTTAACGCAGCGAGCGTGAGGAGTGAAGCTTTTAGTCAAGACGAATGAGACGACTAGCTCAGTCTCGGCACCAACAGCAGGAAATTGCGTTTCATTGTAGCGAGACGGTGTTTGCTTCCAAGCTACGATACCTACAGCCACCGTTCGCCCCTGTTCGTTCTCCTCTCTCTCTCTCTCTCTCTTTCCCTTTGCTTTTCCACCTTTCGTTCTCTTCTCCGTCCTCCGTTCTCGTTCCTCCTGTTCGTCGTTCGTCGCTCGGAATAAGATACGAATGACAATTACACCAGGGAGCAGATATCAGGCCTGTGCCTTTGCCTAGAGCCTCGTTTGCAGGACCTTAAAATTCTCCCGGTCGCCCCGCAGAAAACTCATTTCCATTGTTTCTACACCAGGTCGCTTCTCCCTCGCTTTACACTCTCTTGGCCAACTTGTCTCTCGAAACGTGTAAACAAATCGATGCACGAGAACAAGCCGATCCGATGCTCCTTCTTCTTCTTCTTCTTTCTACGATCGTATTAGATGAGAGACGCGGGGATTTGTTACGACACGATGGGACGGGTTCGCGAGGATACTTCAGGATCGTCTGCTGTTGTCCGTTTAGACTTGTACAGTTGCAGTTCGAGTGATTTTTATTTGCTTAAGAGCGCACTGTTGGAGAATCTTTGACGACGTAGGTGACAAACTTTAAAAAAATGGAGGGAATAAGAGGATTTCTCTGTATACTTTTGGAAATAGTTCACGAGGTCGTTGTGTCACATCCATCGTACTATTATACTATTGTAAAAGAAGAATAACGAACAAAGCGGTCGGCGACGTATTCGAGGGAGAAAAAAAAAGGGGGGACAGTAGGGTGGATAGTACAGTAGGAAGACAGGCAGTATTATTGCTTTAATCGATCAGCTCGATAATTCTATTACCATTTGCGTTATTCAAATGGTATTTAATTTTCCGCAACGTTACCTTTATTTCCCGATTTACATTTCATTCGTTCGGAATTGTCTCGTCCCCCTCCCCCTTCTCTCCCTTCCCATCATACCACTACCAACTATTCCATCTACCCTTGGCGCTGGTTCGAGTCCATTCTTTTTTTTTTTTTGTTCTCCTTTCGTTCCGTTTTTTTTTTCGGGGTCATTTAAAAACTGCGGTCTCTCGCATCTGCATGTCGTTAACCTTTTTACGGTAGCGCTCCTTGAAATTCGATTGTCCCCCGCTTGAAATTGCATTATTGACAATATTGAAATTCAGTTAATCGTGTTCTTGAAATTTGATTACAGGTGTACGTTGAAAACGCCACGTTCCACGGTGTTTCGGGAATTTTCATGGATAACTATGATAATGTGACGCTTGGAAATGGAAACGAGAGGATATGGGTTGAAAGTGTCGGGTAAGTGAGATGAAAAATTTATCAATCATCGCGACTCTACACCTCTGATCAGAAGTTTGGTGAATGTTGGAGTTTCGAAAGAAATGCCGACTCGTATCATGTGTTGGTATCGTTAGGCTATAGACGACTTGTAATGTATAAAAATTTACTAAAACAAAATTAGTAAAATTTAGATAACGTGAGAAATGTATCAAAAAATTTAGCAGAAGATACACTGAACTTCTGATAGGCCGATATCGGTTTCAAAAGTCTTACTAAACATCTATCTTCGATCAAATTCTTTTCTACAAATTATGAATCTTAAATTATATACATCTTTCGATAAAATTTGTGTAAAAATGTGCAGTATATCTGTACCTTTTTTATTTTTACTTTTATCACAAATATAATGAACATAATTGTTCGTATTATTATCACACTGATCTGGCTCGCGCGAGGCGTATAATATTGGGTAGGAATCCGATTTTCTTTGTTCTCGTTGGTTTTATACGACGCCATTTCGTATTGACGCAACGCGACAGGATTTAATTCCCTAATGCGGCAACCAGAAGAGGCGAAGGAAGGAATATTTCATTTTGCTATTCGCAGACGTTGATCTCGTTATATGTATATTCGTAGTAGGAAATGTAATAAAATTAAGTTGCCAACTACTATCTTCGAATGTATACATACTCTGATATTAAGTTGAGGACCTCTGTGCCAACAGTTCTGAAGTCAATTACGATATTGGTCTGTCGTTTGCACAGGCGCAAACTTTATCTACGGTTTGTCTAAACTTCCATCCGCGTTTTACGCCGATGCACCATAACATATGCCAACTTTACTTTACTCTTTTCAACTTCCCAGAGAATCTTCTAATAAATATATGGCCGTGAGGATATTGGCGTTGCGCTTCCGGAAGTTTCATACTTCCCTCTGCACTCTGCTCCTCCAGTTTTTTTTAATAAATCTCCATCCGACAATCTCAAAAATTCGTCGAAAATCACCAAGTAAACTGCAGTCAACGAGCAATTACGTTTTTCGGAATTTACTCGATATTTGCAATCCTTTCAAAGAAATATGTGCCTAAGATGAATTAACAAGAAAACACGCACGTTTTCTAAAATACACTTCGATCCATTTACTTTCATTTTAATCGACACGAATGTTCAATGTAAGATTTCCTTTGCACTTTCGTTTAATACGTTTATAACTTGAAAAACGTTTCACTTCGCACTTAATTCCTGGTCGACGTTGCGTCCGTGCAATTCAGCCAGATCTTTAGACGATAATTGAATGGAAAATTAATAAGATCCGCGAGAGCTACGAAATCCTATAAGCCATCGTACAAAGTGGAGTGTACCGTTATAAACGAGGGGTAGGCGCTTATAGTAGGAGTTAAGCGAAGAAACGTCGACAATTTCGCGAAATTGCCGCGCTAAACGCGCTCGATTTCAGAAAAAAAAAGAAAAAAAAGAGAGAGAGAGAAAAAAAGGAAACGAGATCTCTATACTCCAGAATAACCAGAATATTCTCTTTACACCTGTGATTATTAACCAAATCTCTCGTTTGGTAAAAAAATTGAATAACGTTCGTTATTTGCGGAGAATGCAAGTTTGTAAAATATCTCAGATACTTTGCGCACACGTAAATATACACATAAACTGCGTCTGAAGCGGGTGGAAATGGAAGAAAAGAAAAAAAAAAATCAAAGAATAACATCGATTCGACGGTAATTACGTGAAATGAGGGAAGTTCTGGCCTCTCGGTGCTATTGGTTTCTCATTAGCGGGCTTGTTTTACCTAGACGCCGTTCCTGCAGTTCAGGTGAAGAGTGCACCGGGCAAGAGTAATAAAATAAAATTAAAAAAAGAGAGAAAGAGAGAGAGAGAGAGAGGGAGAGAAATAAAAAAAAGAAGAGTGTTCGCGCCGAAGATTAATTTAATTAAAGCACCGTCGAAACTGCGAATTTTCAGCAGGTGGAAACAAAGGATTGGCAAGAAGGGAAAACAGCCGAGTAGTCTCCTGGCGCGGTCGAAAAACTTTCAAGTACCGAGTAAGAGAGAAAGAGAGAGAGAAGGGGAGAGAGCCGGCTGAAAATTCTGGTACCTTAGCTTATCCAATCACCATAGTCGATGTCGGTTTTCTCGCGGAGTACCTATCGGAAAGTTTCTTTAATCAAGTGTTTGATCAGTGCCCGCTTTCCCTTGTATTCATTGTCTTCGCTCGTTGGCAATCCGGCCTCGTTCGAAATAGCCTTTCATGCTTCGACGTTGCCTTCATTCAATCCTACATCGATCAAATTTTCCTCTCTTATATATCTGTTGTCTGTTATATCACACGGTCGCCACTTATAATGTTCTCTCGAAACAATTATCCTCTCTCTTCGTCGTGCGTCAGTGACGTTCGTGATAAAATATTTTTCGTCACGCTTAAAGAAAAAAAATTAATGCAATCACATTCGAGAGGAAAAATCATCCTCCATTTCTCGTTGAAACGAAACGAAGCGAACGTTACTTGTAATTCCGCGAACGGGAGAGAAACAGAGTTATTGATATGCAGGGAAGAAGGCTTCGATTTCCGAGGAGGATCGATCAAAAGGAACGACTCGCGAGAAAAGGGCCCGCGGTATCGCGAGGCACTCGATAAATTTGGTAGAAGTTTAATTTCATTTTATAGGCGTGATACTTTAGCGAGAGCGGCCACACTTTACGCTAACAGCGCTAAGGTGTGTTCGCTCGTTCAACCAGGAGAATTATACATTACGCCGCCTTAAATCATGCCCCGAGTATTGCCAGCATTAAGCGGAATAAGCGTATATTCAGCTCTGCGTTTCAATCGAAGTTCCCAGATGGAGAGCAAAATTCGTCGAAATGTATTTATTTATTTCAAAGTTCCTCGAGTCACCGGCGACTCTTCTTTACCGTCTTCGGAAAAAAAAATGTGTCGACGCGATCGTTGCTACAATTTCCGCGCGAGCGCGGTAATGATTCCCGTTGAAAAGGAAGCGAAATGACGGGGGGAGCGGTTGCGAAAAGAAATAAAAGAAATGGTTGGAGCTTGCGGAATTATATCAGCGGCCGTTCAAGCCGTCGAAGCCGGCCTCCTCGCCTTATCGATAATGCGTCCTCTGGAAGCAGCTCGGTCTTTGTAATAAATCGAGCTTCGGGACGCAGTTAGAGGGGATCAAACTGACGTCTCGGATACCGAGACTCTCTCTCTCTCTCTCTCTCTCTTTCTCTCTGTTTCTCTCTCTGGCGTGCTTGATATCGCCGGCATAAATCGATATAAATTTCCAAGGATTCCGGACCTGCTCGATTCGGCCAGGATATACAGACTCGTTTTTCAGAGTTTACCATTCTCTCGCACGAGCTGGAGAGAGGGAGAGAAAAAGAGGGACGGAGTTGCGTGCATTCACGCGCATTGCTAGAACCGAGCATATGCGTTTTATGGCGGCTTATACGAATGGTCAATCTTGCAAAGTGAATATTTCCCTGAATTCGAATCGGTTTCGAGGATCCCGCGAGGGTGGAAAACGTGGCCCGGGACAAACTTTGAAACGCACGGCAATTCATTTTGTCGAGAGTTGAACGATACTCCATTGGATTCGATGTTCTTCTTCCGTCGTTTTGTCGGCTCGGCCGTGGGGACTTGTCGATTTCGAATCGTTTTAAACTTGCCAGGATGGGAATCGATGCGGCGATTCAAATAAATATATGAGGGTTTTAAGTCTTCTTGAATCATCGATGTTTCGAGTTTGAAATAGGAACGTGTTTCCGAACGTTTTAATCGAGGAAGATTCACCTCTCACCCAATATTCAAATAATTTTACGCCTCAGCCACAATTAATATCTGCCTATTCTTTTCTCCATGTGTGTGTCTATTCTAAAATATATTTTCGATTATACCTTGGTATAAATCGAATCGTCCTTAATTAGTTAAAAGAATCTTCACGCGAATCAATATATTCCGACGAAGGGAAAAAGGCAAAAGATATCTCCGTTTAACAGTTCGTGCAGTTTTTCCGGTCGAAACGCGCGCCCTTGCGCGATTCGTATCAGTTATGTACGGCACGACGCCTGGGCTTCTTCGTGCACGTGCACTACGTCATAATCGAATTTCGAAAACGCGTTGCCGCGGCCGCTCTCTGCCCGTCCGTTGCGGCTAACTTCGCCGGTTTTCACGCCGGGCCAGCCCGGTAATTCGATTTCCACGAATTATCACTCATTTCGCAAAAAGGATAAATGTAAACGTGAGCCGAATCGGTGGTACGGCCGGGCTGCTGCGCTTTCCCTTATCCTCCTCCTTCCCCTTTCACCATTGCTCGGCGAGGCGATGCAACGCCCTGTTCAAAATATTTGATTCTCACACGGGGAGAACTTTTTTTTTCGAGCTTTACGACCGTTTATCGTTCCTTCCAGAGTGCTTTTATCGTTTCTTTCTGAGGGAAATCCCCCGATTGATCTCAGCGTTTAACATCTGGAAGCAATTGATTTGTATAACTGACGATTTAATAATTGGACATAATAACGATATATATATATATTTCTCGTCTCTCGTATGACCGACGCGGAGGGATCGACGGATGATTTTCGAAAAATTGGTCGCGCGAATCGATGGCCGGGAAAGCGAGGCGAAGAGTCGCAGAGGTCGCAATCAATCTCGGTACAACGGTTGTTCCCGACGCCTCGTACGTTACGAAACGGGACAGCCCTCCCCCCTTCCCTCTCGGGTAGATTCATATTAAACGATATAAAGAAACAGGCTGGTGATTTATGCGCACAAATTGTCCTGTCACCGGGCTGTTCTTCCACGACTCGAGGAAGCTGGCCCACGTAACACGGGGCCGCGCGCCCCGGTTCTTCCCTTTTTGTCGACATCTTATTGTCCTAACCCCCGCGTTCTACAATATCCGCTGCATTAAATCCCGCTTCTTCGCGATGCTACAGCGCAATATGGTGCCCCCTCTGTCCTACATTTCACGTCCACATTGTCAACCTCGTTCTGTCCTCTTGGGATAGTTAGAACTTT